CCTTATCAACAATTTAAGCAATTGTTTTTTTTTTTTATTATATCTCTCTAATTACTTATAAAAAATGTGAGCAATTTCATTGGAAGTTGGATCAACTTTTATCTAATTTTTAACGTTTTCGTTGGAAAATCTGATTTATTGCTTCGAATGTTTTGACTAATTTTGTCATGAGTTGCCACTGCGTTGTTATCAATGTTGATAGAAATTTTATCGAAGCTGTATCATTTTTCTTTTTTGACTATAGAAGAGGTGACCATTTAAGTTTGTTTTTGATGATGATGGTCTTACCGTTTATATTTCAAATCTTTGAGCTGGACAATTCTTAAATTCAGTTCATACTTCAGTTATAGATTAAAATCACCTTAGAACAATGATATTAAATATTGTTTTACCCTTTTATGCCTTTTGAAGTCAAGTTAACTGAGTCTTCTATGAGTAAGTTAACTGAGTCTTCTATGATTGATAGTTCTGAAGAGTGTTTCAAGAACACTTGTAGAAGCCTCCATAAAACACCCTATTTTGTAAGTGTAATAGACAGTTGTAAGGGTGAGTGTAATGAAAAGTTTTAAGCAAAACTTGAGCTCCCCTACAAGTTTTCGTTTATAAGCTTTTATAAAACTTAGGAATAGTTTTGAAAATGATTTACGACATTCTTCTATAAGTTTAATGTATCTTGAGAATGCTGTCATACAAGTTTCTTAAAACCACAGAGCTTTAACCAAGATTAAAAACTCTTGAGAAACTGTTTCATACATACATAAAAAAACTGTCACGCCAACAGGTGGAAGACATTGAACAATAGGGGATCTTACAAACGAAAATTGAGTAAAAACCTATCCTATATTTTTAGCGCTTCTTCATCGCAGCAAGTATCGACATCGAAACAAAATGAACAGGTACAACCCAGGTAACAATTAGATGCTGAACAAGTGTTATTTCGATGATTTTAATTCAGCCTTTGTTTGAATAATGATTGTACATAGACCACGGTAACCTTTGTTCAGCTTCTAAACATCTAAATCTGGTGGTTTTAATCAGCCGAAAGCTTAATATTTATATAAATTATAAGCTTTTTAAGACATTAAATGACAGCTTTTTTCAACCCTTGTTTTATTTAAATAATGGAAGACCTCTTCACATTTTATATTTTTTATGAGACTGCTTTACCATGTTATGTTGTTGCTGACTAATTGGATTTAAATATTTACATTGTTATTATATGTATAAAAATAACCTTTGCATTTAGGGATTCGAACCGGCAGTCGCTGATTCACAGGCACCAACTATACCTACTGGACCACTTAAGCATAGGTGTTGCAAAAGGTATGATGATTAACTTGAAGCACGCCAAATTTGACAGTGACAGTTACACGTCTGAAAATTACGTGCAAAATAAAGTGGTGAACAGACAAACACAGAAATACATATGTTCTACCAGGAGCTATTCCTTAAAAGCTCTTCTTTCTTGTCTCTACTGCTAACACTTCCTGGTAATTTAGAAGAACAATAATTTCGGAAATGCAACAAGTGACACTGACGACATTTAACAATATTGTGCAATAAATTCACATTATTCTATAAGGGTATCAAAATCTTTGTAGCGAATTGCTGATTTGTGAAGTAGTGTTAAGCTTAAATAAGTCTTGTTCAATCTTTATATCAGCTAACTTATTTAAGTTGAATTATGGGGATAAAATTCGCTTTATGCACTACTAATCAATTATATATTCAGCCAGGTGTTAATCTGCTTCGTACACCTTTAATCAACCAATCATCAGCTTCTGTTCTTACTGTTCAGCTTGCATTGTTACTTAGGAAACTGGTGTTACACAAAGTCATAAGGAAACACAGTCGGAGGATATTCCCTTCGATACCCCGGAAAATGGAAACGAAGGAACAAGATGTCAACGCAACAGGCCAGCCCAAGGGGTAAGTCACTCAGCACATTGTGCTGAAATTAGATTCGGCACACCTTTGGCACAATCTCGTAGGCATTGGATTATTGTGAATAAAATGAGAGCACTGCTGTACAACTGTCATTGAAATTGAATATACCAGAGGATGACCAGCAGCTCACTTATAGATCTAATTGCAAAATGTAGGTTCTAGAGTGGGCTCAAGAGAAAGAGGCAGTTGATCAGACCCCATTAATACCCTTAATTCAAATAATGCTGCAATTCACACAAAACAAACTACATAAGGCATATTAATCATCCTCTATAGTTGGTCTCCAACAATGTTCCCCACCGGTTCCAACTCTTTCCGGCCGCTGATAGACCGTTGCTTTGCACATCACGAAAGGCTAGGTTTCTGGTCTGCCTTTGAGGGCATTATAAAACCCTAAAATACAGAACTTTTACTATCCTATGAACACAAAACATCAAAATTTCGCACACCTGCCACTTCCCGCGTCATCCTCATTCCGATTTATCCTTGCGATTTCAAACCAAAACATTCAAGGTGCCAGAAATACCGGGTTGCCTACCCCTTGGGCCAGCCTAAGATACCCAATGTAGAATGGACACTTTCGGAAGACGACAACGAGGCCAGTAAGACTTCTTCTTGTTCTGCATCGAATTTCAAGCTTCTTGCTTATCGCATATTAGCTTATTGCGTGCTCTCAACTTAGTGTTCTAAATGCACTTGCAAGTTATTAATTGAGAGCTTTCGACGCCTCTACCATTTTTGCATTGGTATAATTGTGTGGCTAGTCCAATCCCAAGTAACATTGCAGGTTTTATCGTGGTTTTATAGCATTCTACAAGTCTAAATCATGGTCTAAAGAACCTTCATAAAACCAAAATTGTTACTTGGGAATCATACTTCTATGCCCAGGGAAGTCGAGAAATTTCTCACCCTGAAAAATTCCTAGACCTGACCGGGAATCGAACCCAGCCACCTCCAGCATGTTCTTGCTTTGTAGCTGCGCCTTTACCGACTGAGCTAAGGGAGGCCAGTAAGAATAAGCACTATTAGCAGCGCTCAGGAGTTGGTCGATCGGTCGTTTGAAAAATTTTGAAAAGCATCTTGAAAGTAAGCGTCTTTTCCTGAAACGCAGCCTTTTTAAAAGTATTCGAATATTATATTTGAATATGATTTAATTAGGTAACATCAATTAGAAAAATAAATAATAAAATGGACAATACGGGGAGCGTTTCTCGACCATAAATAAACAGCTGTCAAATTGTTAACTCAACGAGTTATAGCCTACTGCACCTTTGAAAAATTCATGTTAATTTCTGAGAGATATAGTGTTTATGTGCGCGTCTATTAAACACTAGATTTGTCATACATATAAATTTAAGCGCAATATCGCATAAATTAGCAGTATTGTATGCAAGCTTGTAAACGATTTTGCTGTTTTTAGCTCAACATTAAACTAAGGGAGATTTTACGCGATAATTAAAAGTCAGAATTTTTTCTGTGTGCCACTTACTTATCAAAAAGGATTACGGGCTATAAGAAATATTCCGCTGTAATTGATATTTAAATAATTCATAGCTTATAATTTTACTTCAAATAACTTTTTATAACATTCATTACATTTTGTGGTAAAGTTTTGTTCAAAATAACTTGTGTTGGTTAAAATGCATAACAGCTACAATTGCTTATAGAAACTTTTAATTTGAACGATGACATTTTCAATGATTGTGGTAGAAGCACTGTTCTTATGGTGATCTTACATAAAACTTATCTGTCTTGTTTAATTCAAACTAGTTTTATTAAAGCCCACTTGATCTTATTAAAAAAAAAAAAAAAAACAAGTTTAACTGAACTGATCACGCTCCTTTGCAAATCATATTAGTTCTATGCAATAAATAATAGTCTTAACATCTTGGTGTGGATTTATTTAATCATTCATTGGAATCATTGAAAATAATTGCCTCAATCGACTCAAGATCGTAGTTGATGAGATTTTCGTTTACAAAGGTCGGTAATTACTTCGGTAATTGACGTATTCTGGCCGTGAAGGCTATGATCACGATTTGATCTGCTTAAGACTTTATTATTTTCCAATATATCACTGTTGAAAATTGCACAAATGTTCTACTGTTGCTATGATAATTAAAATTATCACCGATTGGCTTGCGAAAAGCGATTTCCCCAACACAGATTTCAAAGTTGAATTCCATCAGGTCTCACCAAACGGTGTGTGTTCTCCAGTACACAACGAAAAGCTGCTTGCAATAACTCAGAGAGTTACATTTACTCAGTTTTTTGCTAAATTTCTAAAAACTGTAGGTACTCAGCGTTGATTTTAATTTTAAAACATGAAAAAATATACCCTGAAAATCCCATTCTGCACATCTGTGCAATGAACCCAAGTAACTGTCAATGCCTCATTTCACATCTAACCGTTGCAAGTCATTCCAAAAAAAAAGCCATGTAAACACGGTTGACTCTTCCTTCAATTAGCCAAGTGCCCTTCTCTTTCGCTCGTGCTGACTACAATCACACGTTGATGCCGCCGGAGAGTGCTTTTTTATTATCGCTCTAAAATGTTTATCCTTTTCGCGTAGGTACATTTGTTGCCATTGACATCGTCCTCGTCACCCATCCTGTTCTGTTACTATCAACTCTTCATCGTCAGGAATCCATGCGGGGGGTAGGTGGAAGAAGGGGAGTCTAAATTCTTTTACAACCCCATTGCGTTTACCACGGGGAATTAGAAGCTACCGTCACCTTCGGTTCACTTTTCGACGAGACGAGAGCTAAACTTTGGCTGACGAGCGACGACGACGGTGGAAATACTCCTAAATTTTACCATCACTCCCAACGCGATCGTAACATTAATGGCCGGAATGCAACTCGTTCTTTTACGTGGGTAGGCGGACGGATCAACGAACCTGAGACAGGGTAATTTTTCGGGAGTGAAGTTTGTCGTTTGTGTAATGGACTATGTCAACTTTTACGCAAATGTTTAAAATACATTCAGTTTTGCATTTGAATGAAGGGTTGTCCCAAATTCGAACCGAGTTGAACTAATTATAATTACTTACCGTTAACCAAGACGCACAGCAGTATCTCCCAGCGGAGTCCCATTTTGCCTGTCCCTGTTCGATCCAGCAGTCACTTGAAACCGTCCTTTGATTTTCTTTCACACTATCTGGTTGTTCCTCAAATCTACCTCTCACGAGCTAGTGACGAAGCATCACACAGGTATTTCCTCGGATGGTTGGACTGTTGCTTGCCAGTTCAAGACGGAACGTACTCTGTGCTGTCGGTTGTGTTCCACCGGTTGCGTCGGTTAGGCGAGAGCGTTGGCTGAATGTCGCGCGACAACAAAATGTAGCGCGCGTTGGTTCGGAATTCAGGAGTGGCGGCAGTCACTGCAAGTCGATTCCGTTGTTTCGTGTGGATTGTGTGTTTTAGTTATCTGCAAACGGAAAAAAAAAGACGAAGAAAGGAGTTAATTAATGGAACGGCAATTAAAATGTCGGTATGGATTTCAACAACGTGAAAAGCTATTCACTTCATTTCTCGAATTTTTGAATTCGAATCACATAGCGATAATTAGAGTGACAAGCTGTGTCGAACGGACGTGCCGCGTTCGGTTAATTAAAATTGCTTGTTTCTTCAGGGGGACCCACCCATGGCGGATTCGTTGAAGTTGGAGGTGCTACTGGATCAAATAAATCCGGATAATTGTCGGTAACCGTTTTGATCCACTCACTGCTGGTTGGTTGATGCAGTCGCGTGAATGATCCTAGGCAGGTGATCGCAGCGAGAGACAATTTGTAGCACATCAGGCATTCCTGGCACGTATCGGGTTCTTTCTGTCGTTAATTCATAATCTAAATTATTTCACTTTCAACGGTAAGGTGTGACACGCGAATAATGGCCGATCCAGAACTTAGGTACACAGCATAATGTGCTTTATGGGGTGTTTACACATGTGCTGGTAGGCTAGCGCTAGAGTACTAGAACTGTACTAAAAAGTAGCAAGCATAATGTAAACAGTGCGTCAGCATCTACCAGCTTGAGATTACAGGAGTAACAGAAATTCGTGCTTGTCGGTTGATCAAAAGAAAATCAAAGAACAATATGGTACCTACGGAAATTTTCTAACTAAACCACAGAAATAGGAAATTGATTATTAATGTAAAACTTAAGTTCAACTATCACATTGACAATGTCATCAAGAAAATTGCCACGAAGACTGAAAAACGATTTAACTATTGCCAGTAAAATACAGCTATACAAATCAATCATCTCTCCTCATCTAGACTTTTGCTCTTCCATTTTATGTTTGGCCAATGCAACACAAATATCAAGATTACAGCGCTTGCAGGATAAAATAATGCGTTTGATTTTGAGATGTAATAGATTCACTTCTTCAACTTTGATGCTAGGCGCCTTACAATGGTTGTCTGTGAAGCAAAGAATAGTATATTTGACTATGGTGTTCATTTTTAAAGTAGTTAGTAGATCGAATTGAAAGAGAAGTTATTTTTTTAGATATAATACAAGAAACGCGATTGAAATAAGAACACCACATTTCTTGACTTGTTTTTCACAAAATTCATTATTTAATGAATAATTCATAAATGTTTTCAATTCGATGCCCAGACACATTAGACGTGCAACAACATTAGCAGAATTTAAGAGACATTACATTTCACACGTTAAAACTGTGTTTTGAACAGTTATCCAGTGATTTTGACGTAGGACTACGTCTGTGATTTCTATATGGGGGTACACTGTGTGAAAACCGAAAATGGAACATGAAACAAAATTGTGAAAGATTTTGAACGTTAATAACTCAGCTGCCCCTGGTCCAATTTCAATAATTTTATCACCAATCGATCAGTAATATGACTACGCACACAAAAAATAAATTATAGCAGACGTAATTATTTTGCCGGTCAAAATAACTATATTGTTCAATTGATTTAGAGATAACCCGAAACTATAGTTGATTTGATTATATATAGAGGGCAACAACTGTAGTCCATAGTTGGCTCCTCGGTTGGCTCAACTATATTTTATAGTAGCTGAACAAACGTTAAACTTCAAAATACAACTATGCTTTAGTTGATTCAAGAAAACTGTTGTTAGAAAAGAAAAATTTTACAATGTTTATTAAACGAACTGCTCTTCATTATCGAAGTTTGTTTTTCATCTTTATCGATCTCAAAAACACAACTGCAAAGTCATAAAAAAGTCTACAAGAACATTCAACTTAGATTTGAAGCGTGTTCATCTGCGTGAGAGTCAGTTATCTTATCGCCTGCTCTACGCATCACAAGTTAAAAGTGTGTGGATTTATGATGATCACTTGAAACCAAATTATATAAATAAATTACATTTGACGGTTGTTATAATTGATCAAAGCTATAAGATGAACAGCTGAATCTATTGGTCATATCTACGATTGAGTTGACGGTCAAATTAATGTTGGAATAACTATAGGTTTCTTTCAAACAACAATATTTGTCCATGTGAAAGTAACTATTAGGATTGTTATCTTAACTTAACGAATTTGTTCTCCGTGCATCGATAACAATGCTTCCGAATGTTGATCTTCAACAAGAAACTATTGAAAAAGTAGTAAAAAATCCACCAATTACGTACAAGCATATGCTGCTTCCCCAAAACAGTCATCAGAGAATCATTCCTAGACGAAACATGTCGATGTAGCATTACGACGAGGTTCGGTAATTTCAGTGGTTACCGTTTCTGCTTACTGAGCAGAAGGTAGGGAGTTCAATCCCAGCCCTGTCCCTTTCCTTGCAATTTTTCACTTTGCCTTATTCTATCCCCACTAGATTTAAATAAAAACAAATTCTGCTTTAACCGATCGCATCACTTACGACAGTAAATCCTGATCTAAAAATAACCTACCTCACTAACACAACTATCCTTCCCGAGACAGCCGTGGAGATGTAGAGGTATTCTCGGTCTGTAGTAACAACCGGACGTCGAACTAATCATCCTTCCCTCCCCAAAAGACCGTGAGGACGTGGCCGGCACTGTGAATTGATCTATAGATTGAATTAATGTGCTTGTACATTGAAGATGGAAAGCTTTATCCTATGCACCATCTATGTAGTTCTCTGTGCAAGTGGATTAGTTCTGATCATTCACGGAGGAGCAACTACGAAGTGCACGGTCAGATAACGTTAACTCGACGGCAAACACATTCATTGATACGTTTGTTGTTGTGGATGATAGAAGAGCATAGCAGAAATAGTGCGATATAGGAAGCCATGGTCATCACAAAAGAGGAAATCGATTAAGAGAATTGGCTGTCACCCTTCTCCTTCTAAGCCCCTTACAGTCATCGTTATAACATCGCACCGCTTTTGGTTCTAGGGCACTTGCTGGTTGCAATTTTTAGATCAGGATTCACTGTGATGCGATCAGTTGTAAGCAGCAAAAATTCTTAACCAACTCTCTTGTGGAATCTTTTAGTGGCTCTGAAAAGGGCCGGTTTTGTTAGATTTCGACGGAGAAATTAAGAGCGTTCACCACAAATACGAAGAGCCAGCTGAATGTCCTTTGGCATCATTGTGACACGCTTGGCGTGGATGGCGAACAGACCGACCAGATAGGCCTCGCTGGATTTCTGTAGGGCCATTAACGGCCGAGCTCTGGAAGCGCAGATCGGTCTTGAAGTCCTCGGCGATTTCACGGACCAGACGCTTGAAAGGCAACTTGCAGCTCGGTCGATTTCTGGTAACGACGGATCTCACGCAGAGCGACAGTTCCTGGCCGGTAGCGATGAGACTTCTTCACTCCTCCGGTGCACTATGGGCAAAAATGGGTCCAAAATTACCCAAAATTCAATATCACAACAGCACGCTGAATTCCGGCCATGAAAAACGACTTTTCCGAAGGGAAATCGTCCGGGGAATCGATTGCACCTAGTCCCATAGACCGGAGAGCCTTGTAGGTATGTGTTTTGGACCATTTTACCCCATTTTCCCCTACTTTTTGGAGGAAATGTTTTTTCACAGCTCTATTTTTCGTGAAACATAAATACTTTATGCATGGTTTTAGAATATTATGTCTTTGAACAACAGTTCATGAGATATTAGGGGAATACGGGGTACACTTTATAGGGGAGTAAGGGGTAAAAGTGAAAAAAACAATCAATGTTTTTTAATACCAAATCCTTTTTTTTAATATCTTAATATTTTTTTCTTAAAAATACTTCTAATTAACTTTCATTTGGTATTTTGAGTTCCGTCATCGGCCAAACAGTTCAAAAGTTATAAATTTTTGAAAAAAATCGAAAAAAAAAATTTTTTTGACCGCCCTAATATATAAATAGTCACCCTAATGACAAAATAAAAAACATGGGTCTAATATGTTGCGATAAGGAACAAAACTACCAATTTTTACAAAATTCTGAGAACCACTATATCGTTTTGCTGTATACAGACAAAAAAATTGAAAACTCTTTTAAAACAGATAGCAGTAAATTAAAACTTATTTAACCCCAATTAACCTTAAAATTTCAAAAAAAAAATCTTATTATTGCAGGCAACCTTTGGGTTCATTCAAACAATTGCATCGTTCAACATTTTTATGACTTAAAATAAATTTAGCGAGGGTTCACTTTTACCCCTTACTCCCCTATAAAATGTACCCCGTATTCCCCTAATATCTCATGAACTGTTGTTTAAAGACATAGTATTCTAAAACCATGCATAAAGTGCTTATGTTTTACGAAAAATAGAGCTGTAAAAAAACATTTCCTCCAAAAAGTAGGGGAAAATGGGGTAAAATGGTCCAAAACACATACCTACAAGGCTCTCCGGTCTATGGGAGCACGTGCAATCGATTCCCCGAACGATTTCCCTTCGGAAAAGTCGTTTTTCATGGCCGGAATTCAGCGTGCTGTTGAGATATTGTATTTTGGGTAATTTTGGACCCATTTTTGCCCATAGTGCGGTGGCTGGAGCTCTCTTGCGAGCGGCCTTGGTGGCCATCTGTTTGAGAGGAGCCTTTCCTCCGGTGGACTTACGAGCGGTCTGCTTGGTGCGGCCAAGTGAGGCAAAGGACTCGGCAAAGAAGGAGCCAGTTGGGTTACATGATAACTTACAGGGTCTTACCAAGTCAGCCGTCCGTCGTCTGGCTCATCGTGGTGATGTCAAGCGTATCTCCGGTCTGATCTAAAACCCGAGTGTGCTCAAGGTAAAGTGTTGCTGGAAAACGTCTTTCGTAGCGCTGTTAACTTATGCGTCAGGGACGCATCTGAGGTTAAGCTTCGTTCATTTTTCCTATCCGAAACGGCCACCAACTAATTACAAAAGAGATTGTTTAGGAATTCTACTAATCTTGGCATGAATGAAATTTCTGGAACCAGCAAAACGGTAGCAACCAAGCTTCTGGGCTCTCTGAGTGCCCATTTCTCGTAGCGATGAAGGC